CGTTTTACTTCAATAACCTTTATAAATCATTTTTGTTTTTTGAAATAATATATTTTTTAATTAATTAATTTTTTAAAATCAATTAATTAATTAATTAACATTATATAATATACATATCCTTAAGTATTTTTTATAAAATAATGACATATTTTTTATTTTAATTAATAATACGTTTTACTTCAATAACCTTTATAAATCATTTTTTAAATTAAATTTAAACCACTTAATTAGTAAAGAATTTTTTTAACATATTTCTTATTTTTCTTATTAATTATTATGAAAAGAATTTTCTAATCTTAACTTTTAGGGTATATGTTAAAATTGTAATAAATACATTTTTATCATAAATTTATATTAAAAGAGCAAATGTTGAACTTTAATTTATTAGTTATCTAATTAAATTCATAAATGTAGCAATGACACAAATTAATATCAACTTTTATATTTTTCTATATAAATTAATGACAAAAAGGTATACCTAAGAGCAAAAATAAAATATTTTGATATTTTAATTGTTAAGACTTATTATAAAATTATTTAAATATCCTTAATGAACACTATTTTATTCACTGAAGGTACTTTAATTTTTCCTTATCATTTTTGGTATTTTAATTGCATTTAAAATTTTTTAAAAATAATTAAAATGCCAAAAATAAAAATGAAAAAAACTAAAGTACTTTTAGTGAAACAACACAAAAAAATATGTATTAAAAATATTTAAATAATTTTATAATGAGTCTTAACAATTAAAGTGTCAAATCCATACCCTAAAAGACACATTTTTGCCATTAATTTATATTGAAAATTGTAAAAAGTAATATTAATTTTAATGTCATTATCATATTGATGAACTTAATTAAATAGTCAATAAATTAAAAGTTAACATTTATTCCTTTAATATGTGCCCTAGGATTTAAAGGTTAGAAAAGTCTTTTGATAATACTCCATTTATTTTTAATAGATCTAGTTTTTTATCTAATAAAATATATATGTAATAATTTATTGATAAAATTTCATATTTATTTCTAATTAAATACCACTTAAATAAGACTTCTTATTTAATATATATTGTTATTAACTTTTTAGAACAAGAGTAAACAAAAATAAGCACATTAATAACATCCTAAAAATGAAAAGTGGATAGTTAAATTTGAATACGTCAAATAAGA